TTTGCCTCAGAAGCTGGATTAGTTGAACGTCAAGTTTCTCACATGCCTCGCTTTGAAAAAGTCCACAGAGTTAAGCGACAAAAGAGTATCGTATAAAGAAAGTGTGCTATGGCCACACAGTGGAATATTATTACTTGGCAAGGAAAAGGAATGGAGTTCTGGTCCATGCTCCAGCACAGATGTGCCCCCAAAACGTACGTCCAATGACAGAAACCAGACACAAAGGGCACCTGTGATATGATTCCGTTTCATGAGATGTCCATAAAAGGCAAAGGAGTCCCCCAAAAGTAGATTAATGATTAGGGCTGGGGTGGCAATCGGAGTGACTGTCATTGGGCACGAGGCTTCTTTTTGGGGGGGGTGGTGGTAATGGAAGTGTTCCAAAATGAGATTGTGGCGATGACTGCACAACTCTGTAAATATACTAAAGTTCCTTGAATTGCACCCTTAAAATAGGTGAGTTGAATGGTATGTAAATTTTCTCTCCAAGTGGTTAAAAAGAATCGCAGTCTCAGCCCCACAACCACCTGATTCAGACGAGAAGCCAATCTCAGCCCCTGGACAGACTCGGCCATGTCCCCAGGCCCAGCCTTCAGCTCTTCTCTGGGCTGAGGCTGAGGCTCAGAGACATCTGCCCCAGAGAGGGGGGACAGAGACCTTTTGGTTTCGATTTACGAAGTGCCCACGGTCCCTGCCTGGAGCTTAGAGCCCACCTGGGGATGCCAGCACAGTGGGAGCAACCGGCTTTAAAGCTGGCAGGACCCATTTCCAGCATCAGATGGACAGCTGCCCATGCTCTCTGCCTCCACCTCCAGAGGTGGGGCCCAGACATCACGCCTCCTGCAAAGCTGGCAGCTGCAGTCTGGCCTGAGCGCCTGTCTTTCCACCAGGCCTCCGGAACCTGCTCGTTTGCCTCGGGGTTTGACCGAGTGCCTCCTCTTCAAGGAGCTGAGCCGCCTTCTCCTGAGAGCAGGTGTTTTCAGTACTGACATCTTACCAAGATCTCTGAGCTTGTCCCTTAAATGCAAACAATTTTTGTAATGAAGCAATTGAGGGCCAAGTCGAGAGACCATGAAGCTGGGGACTCTGCATGAGCCCGAGGTGACCCTCACTGCCCCCTCCTGGCCCTGGTCTGATGCCACTTGCTGTACACACAGAACAAGCTGCCTGGAGGTGTCAAAGTGGCAGTTAGTATTGTCTGTCACCAAGGCCCCAAAGTCCTACAAAGACTTAGTTGTGAGGATGGGATTGCTGGGAAAAAAAACAGATCCAGCCTGGATTCTGAACGAAACAAAAAGGGCCTAGATTTCCTAAGCATATAAGCTAAGAACATCCCACACTGGGAGACTGACCGCCCAGTCGCGGGCAATGCTGGATGGGGGTGGAGACACCAGGTATGGCACGTAGGGGCAGAAAGGGGGTCCTGGCTCCTTGCACCTGCTGCCAGCCCTTTCCAAGAGAAAACGGGGTGCCAAGAGCGGGCATGCCCAGTTATTGTCTGAAAGGCTCCCCCGCTGCCGACGTGGGTCGCGCTGTCAGCCCCCTTTTGATGGTGTGGCCGAGTCTGGGGGGTGGCAGCGGGTGGCTGCACAGCACAGGCCCCTCTCCTGACTCGCCTGTGTCCTCTGTCTGAGCAGTCGGAGACTCCTTCTTGGTCAGCTACACAGCGTCACTCGAAGCCGGAGATGTTGGGAGTGGAGAGACCCTCAGGCTTCCTGCCCAGCTCACCTTTCAGAGCTCATCACTGGTACGATGTGACTTTGATTCTGTCTTGTCACTGCTGAGGGGGTTTGTTTTAGAGACACTGACACTTAAGGCCCAGTATCTGTTCCCTCCCTCCCTCCTTTCGTGACTGCTGTTAGGATTTTGCACAAGTCTTCCAGAGAGAGGGAGGCCCCGCAGCCGAGGGCCTAGTGCAGCTCCAAGCACAGCGGGTTGGAAATATACCAAATGTTCTCCCATTTTGTCAGACTCCAGAACCTGCTGACCAGAACATTGCCATGTTTCTTTTACTAGAACCGAACACAGCTAAAAGCCCTTTTCACCATAACAGCAGAAGAAAAGATAAAGGTAAGAGAAAACGTCTGACCTGAACACCGCCTTATGCCCACTGTATCTGACGGCTGTGGTGTGGAGCCTGTTGTTTTCCTCAGAGCCAAGGGGAGGGACCTGCCGCTGGTCTTGGCAGCCCAGACCCTCACCGAGGCTGGGGGCTCTGGGTAGCCTGGGGTCCTTCCGTGTGGCCTGAGGTTAGTTGCCTGGATGACCCCTCCATCTGGGCAAGATGCCTGGACAGGCTGAGGCCCGGCTCACCGGTCTGTGCTTCTGTTCGGTGGCATTCATACCTGCCCCGCGGTGTTCGGCGACAGGCCGCTGCCGGCCATGTCTTGTCTTCCCAAACCTTCCCGGAGCACGGCAGTGTGTGGCAGGCCTCCCTGCGCCTGTTCACCACGAGTACATTCCAGTCCTGTTCGTCAGTTTGATCACTCCCAGCTCACACGTGCACTCATTCATCAAGTGTTTATTCACGTTTCACATTTTGTAAGCACCTACTAGGGGCAGGCATTCCAAGTCATTTACATACGTGAATCGTGTAACCTTCACTACAACCTTGGGAGATAGATTCTATGTTTAAATCACCCCTATTTCGTAGATGGGGACACTGAGGCACACCTAGGTCAAGCAGTTTTCCCAAGGTCACGTGGCTAGTGTGTCGGGGTTCCCGGCCGACCCCCAGGTTCGATGATTCACGAGGAGGACCCCCAGGACTCAGCACACAGCCATACACGTGGCTACGACGGATCACAGAGGAAGGACGCAAAGCAGAGCCGGCCGAGGGAAGCGGCCGGTGGGCGAGGTATGAGGACCCAGGGGCAGGCTTCCAGAACCTTCTCCCGGTGGAGTTGCAGGACCTGCTACATTCCTCCTGATTTATGACAACACAAGTGAAGTGCTGTCTGCCAGGGGAGCTTGTTAGAGACCCAGAACCAGGGTTTTGTTGAGGCACATGGGCACCCTCTGCCTGGCACGTACCCAGGTTCCAGGCCCCAGAAGGAAAGCAGGTGCTCAGCATAAACCACGTCGTTGGCACAGCAGTGT